TCCAAACTACAAAACATTCAAAATCAGAAGATACAAAACTGAAATTGTAAACAAATTCAGTGTTCATTTTAGCAGTCAATAAGACTGAAATTGAAATACACTCAGTAAGACTAATGAGTCTTCAATCTGCAACTTCGTACTTCATTCTTCAACTAAAATGGACCAACTTAGCAGTCTTCACTCTTCAACTTCAAGTCTTCAAGTGATCAACAGTTCAACAAGCAGCAGGAATAGGCAATCAACAAACTGAAACAACTGAACAAGCAAGGCTGCAAATTTAGAAATACAGGACACTATCAACATCAACAACTTGATTGAAGGTTTTCAGGTTATAACAGTGATGAAAAACATGTCTATGTTGCTGAAAAACAAAGTAAAACCGACCAGAACATTAGTTCAGTCTAGCTTGATTAAGAAAAACTCTAGCTCATCCCAATTTTTTCTTTCCTTTTTCAGCAGCTGAAACGAAAAATAAGAAGAAAGAAACAGTTAACATTCAAATAATTCAATAAAGAACTGAAAATCACAAATAAATTTAAAATCAACCTTCTTCAATCCGTAGGAGATCATCCCAGCTTTCTTCAACATCTTGATCTTCATCTTCAACCAGCACCCAAAGCCAAATCTTGTGCGCAAATCAGGCACTGAACAGTTTTCGGAGTTAAAGAACTCTGGAATACGTCCAACACTCACCCACTGGTACTAAAAACTTATTCAGAAGCTACAGTAGATATAGGTATGGCAAAAATGTCACGAACCATAAGAGAAAGGATTGAAAAACGAGGGATGTTCACTTTCCACCGGTTCAGGAGGTCAAATGTTTCGTTACCTGGTTCATCATCTTCCTTCAAATATTTTTCCAACTCTGATTTCTTATCATTTCTGCCACCAGCTGATTCATTTTTCTTCTTCAACAGCTCCATTCTAAATCTTTCTCTGAGGACCTTCGAAGGCTCGATATCAATAGGGGAAGGCCTTTTCCCCGATGAAGTAGTTTGAGAAGAAGAATCGGGATTGGAGGAAGGCAAACTAGAACTAGTAGGGGGGCATGGATTCTCACATAATCAGCATATAAATCATACATGGCACTTTGAATCAATTCGTATTTCTGTTTCCCATCAACTTTCCCATAAACATCAGAAAGTACAACTTCTAAGTAAGTCAGTTTACATCTTGGATCGAAAACACATGCCATACAAAGAACAAGGTTCATCTTTGCAATATCACCATAGTATTTATCAAACTTCAGTTTCATCATTTCAGCCATAGCCTTTTGTTCAAAATCTTGACTTTCATTAATGATCTTTTTCAGCAACACATCAATGCAAGTTATATCAGTAAAAAAACCATCAGAAGACACAGTTTTTGTACGAGATACCTTCAACGTTATCTCGTAAAAATGCTGAAGCAAACCAGCCACCCTCCGTGTTTCAATCCAATCAAATGAAGTAGGCAGCCCGGGTCCTGAATTTGGCACCTCAGGATCGTGTCTAAGAGTGTCTCTAAAGTGCGGATTAGTAGATTCATATCTCCTAAAGGCTCTTTCATACACTTGAGCAGTTTCCAGCATCAAATATGTGCTATTCCATCGTGTACAAACATCTAAGACCAAATTCTTAGAGCTATTACACTTCTCGATTTCAGCACATTTTCTAAAACTTGCAATTCTTTTAGGATACTGCCTAACATACTTAACTGTTGCCCTAATCCTTTTTACAGACTTTCCTATATAGTCCAAGCCATCTTTAACTACCAGATTCATAACATGAGCCACACAACGTACATGCAACCATTTAGCACCCAAAAGACATTTTTCACGGTGAGCAAACTGCTCTTTCAAATAATCAATCGCAGAGTCATTAGAACTAGCATTATCAACAGTAATTGTAAATACTTCTTCAATTTCCCAATTTAACAAACAATCTTCAATTGCAGTTCCAATATCAATACCCTTATGACTTGAAATGGGACAAAAACTTAATATTCTCTTTTTCAGATTCCAATTATTATCCACATAATGGCCAGTAAGACACATGTAGTTAACTTGCTGCAAAGAAGTCCAACTATCCGTTGTCAAACAGATCCTACTAACATTCCCTTTAATCTCAAACTTCAGTTTTTCCTTCTCAGCTAAATACAACTTATAACAATCATCCGCTACAGTCTGTCTACTCTTTGGCACATACAAAGGTTGCAATTTTCGCAGAAAATACCTAAACCCTTTTTTCTGAACAACAATAAAAGGAAGCTCATCAATTATGATCATATAGAGAAGTGCCTTAGTAATTTCCTCTTCATTATATTTCCAAGTCCCTACAGTTGTTGGTTTCCCTTCCCTACCCTCAACAATTAATTTACTTTGACCAGGATCACGACTAAGAGCCAAATATTTCTTACAGTTTGCTGAGTGGCCAAGAAGACTACTGGTTCCGTGTTTTCTACTTTCAGCCCTATAGTTAGAGCCACAGTAATTACAAGAAGCCCACTAATCACCTTTCTGGTCAGTAAAAGTAGAAAAATGGGGCCATACCACAGACCTTTTACGAGTGATCCTGCGTTGCTTTGGAAGTGGAGGCTTTCGAACAGCAACTGCTTCACCCACAGGACCTTCACCTATTACCCTTTCTCCCATTTCAATCTGTACATCGATCATCAGTGTTTCATCATTCGGTAAATCCAGCGGAGGAGAAGGCACTGAACCCTTATCAACCGCAAGGTCCTGATCCTCAACCTCAAACTCATCAAGATTATCATCAAGCTGAGACATCTAAACCAAAAAGAAAGAAAATCAGTTTATACTTTATAGTTTACTGTAATACTCCTGCAAACAACTGCAAGCTACACAAAATTTCACAAGCTAAAGCAAACATAAACTTGCAGCAGAAAACTGTAAAATAGAAGTAAACCCCTAAATAACCAGAACAGAAAATGAACAGACCAGTAAACCCTAAACATGCACTTCCAATTGTTGCTTCAAACAGATGAACTAGCTTCAAACAGACCATGTTACAATAAACAACTGCTTCAATATTCAATAAAGAAAAAAAACGCAAAATACTTCCAGGAGGACCAGGACAACATCAACATTCAACACGATCATTCAATACAAAACCACAGCTGCTTCAATATTCATTCATTACAACACTACAACATTTTACAAGACTACCACATTTTACACGCAGCAGTATTTTCCTAACAAACTTTCAGGCTCTAACTACAATACTAACACCAAAAAACAATAAAAGAAAAGACCATAACTTTGCTTCAAAAGAAGAAACAAAAATTAAGGCCGAAAGCAGTACAGCCTACAAGCTCACACAACTAAACTGTCAACACTCAATAGAGCTATTATTAACTAAATAAATTGTAGAAAAGGAAAAAAAAAACTATATACCTTATGGACTGATGCTCTATGAAGGTCTGATAATGAATCCCGAAGCTTAACAGAGTCAACTTTTGGACGAAGAGTAGAAAGGAGAGCAATCTGGAACGACGAGCAGCAAACCCTAATCTCAATTTGAGAAATTCCCTTTTAGTTTGTAAATTTCGATGGCAACTAAACTCCAATTCCCCAATCTAAAAGCTCAAACCCTAATCTCATAACCCATTAACCCTAATCGATTCGATGGTTTGGTTCAGAAATCCAGATCTAGAAAACCCTAAGTGGAAACCATCTATTTTTTTGGAGGAAATGATAGATTTGAAATGATTGATAGTGGGATCAACGAATTAACAAAGAAGAAAAGGTGGGATTGAAGCTTGAAACGGCGGTTGGCGGCGATTGTTGACTGTCGCCGCCGTCAAGGTTGAAATGAGGAAGAGAGGAAGAGAGAGAAGGAGAGGGGAGGAAGAGAGATAAAAAGGAGAAGAAACCCTAATCTCTTCCCTATTTATATGGCCCTAAAAAAATTAAATAATTAATTACTATTCGGTTTTTCGGGCAGGGCACCTATAATTTTTTTTCCCCCTGAACCCGCACTGATTAACTTTTCGGTTGTTCGGGTACACCCGATTTGCCCCGAACAGCCCGAACGCCCCAAATTCAGTTCGGTTCGGGCGGTCTTCGGGTTGACCCGAATAATCGACAGCCCTAATATGAGTTGTCAATTTCATAACAAATCCGTGTCATCATCCCTTCATTATTCTTGCAAATTTTACAACCACTTGGGAAGATATTTTTTTAATAATGAAATTTAATTTAAAGAAACATTGTAGGTAAGCGATAATAAAAATTGATAATCGCTTCCAAAAGGGACATGTTATACACGACTGGATAGTACATGCTAAGCCGGTTTACTTGGGATCGAGAGATATTTTCGTCCTCGAAATAAGAGCACATGCTCTAAAATTATCAGCCCATCCCGATACCCCGTGGGATGAGATTATAATTTAAATTATAACTTACATATTGTTGTTCCTCGAGCTGCAATTTGATGTCTTTAAAGATTTTTATATATTTATTTTTATTTATTTTTTTTGGGAAGGCAATTTGAAGATATGATTACAAAGAAGAAGCCAAAAGGATAATATTTTAAGTCCCATATTTGAAGAAGGAATTTCGTTTTCCATTTTATCAACTTGTGATCCATCTTAATAGAAAATATTGGAGCTCGAGTTCAGTTCATAAAAACCACAAAAATATTGGACAGCTACACTATCATGACAATGGTGGTAGAGAAGAAGTCTAGCCATTCTAAAAGGATGAAAGGTGGAATATATATGGACAATGCCTTTCAGTTTTGGTAAGCTTGGATGTTATCATTATCCCATTTTAGTTGTACTAGTGTTTATTCCAACCTTTCCATTTAAAGTATAGGTTTCAAAATCAATTATTAGAATCTAATTCGTTAATTTTGGATTCTTAAGTGGTGATCGTTTACCATTTTAGTTGTAGTTATGTTTATTCCAACTTTTCCGTTTAAACTATAGTTTCAAAGTCAATTAATGAGAATCTAATTCGCTAATTTTGGATTCTTAAGTGGTCATCGTTTTCTTCATTCTCATGAATCTGCTTTAATTGATAATGCAGCCAATGAAATATGTGAAAAGTTGGCGGCGGCCGGATTTCTGGCAAACATGATCACGTACTTGACCAAGGAGATGAATATGCCAATGACTAAAGCTGCTAATACTCTCACCAATTTTTCTGGAACTGCCAGCCTTACTCCATTGTTGGGAGCTTTCATAGCCGATTCATTTGCAGGAAGATTCTGGACCCTTACTATTGCCACAATCATCTACCAAATTGTAAACATCTCTCTTTCAGTACTGCAGCCAAATATATATGAACCAATCCATGGAAACGCAACTGTAATAACAAAGTCCGTCCTTTCCAGAAAAATATTCGACATTGTAACTTATGAATTGTACAGTCTTTAGTACAATTCGTACATTACAATGTTAACTATTTATTTCGGAACAGATGGAGTAATAATTTCTGTCTTTTGTTTAAGTGGTGATCACGAATCTAAAATCAACCTTTCACTTTCAGTTTCACTTTTCAGGGAATGGTTATGTTGACCATATCAGCTATCCTCCCAAAACTAAGGCCGCCACCATGTGAACCTAATCGAAATGTTTTGCCAAGAAGCCAATTCAGGCCAGCTTGGCATCCTCTATGTCTCTCTCTTGCTAACATCAATAGGGGCAGGTGGGATTAGGCCATGTTGGCTGTCATTTGGCGTAGACCAATTCGATGAGACTGATCCAAAGCAGAAGACAAAGACATGGAAGTTCTTCAACTGGTATTACTTCAGCATTGGATCCAAGATAATGTGGGTTGGGGGTGGGGACTTGGGATTCCAACCATTGCCATGGCGCTTTCAATTATCACCTTTGTATGTGGATACCCTTTGTATAGAATGTGGGATCCTTCTGGTAGTCCTTTCACCAGATTGGTACAAGTTTGTGTGGCTGCCTTTAGGAAAAGAAACCTTCCTAGGGTTTCTGACCCTAAATTCATGCTTTATAAAAATGCAGAGCTTGATGCTGACATATCTCTTTGTGGAAGCCTCGCCCATACTCAAAATATGAAGTAAGTCACCAGTTTCAACTTTCTACGATCACGTTAATGAAACGACATCATTTTATTTATGAATATTTATATCTCCTTTTAAAATGTATCAATAACAACCTTTCAATAAACTTAGATATTTGTATAATTAAAGGCGACGCGGTTATATAAGTACTCATTCGATACCAATATAGTTATTGAACTAAAGTAATATAAGAAAATGTATGATTTTTTTGGAAATAACAAAATATGTTAGTTCAATTGTTGCTGATATCATATGATTTTTGGGGGGTTTTTTTTTTTTTTTTTGGTTATAACGTTTACAGATAGATAGTCTAATGAGGACATACAATTAGTTACAATCATGCTCCAAATGTTAATCATAGCAAATGAGGGCCTATAGATTAAAGCTTTTCCCGTGTTCTGAGACTAGAATTTTGGACAAGGCTGCGATCGTGACTGAAGAAGACGATCCGAAAGCTCCAAATCTCTGGAGACAAAATACAGTGCACCGGGTGGAAGAGTTAAAATCAGTAATCAGAATGGGTCCAATCTGGGCTGCCGGAATACTACTCATCATGGCGGGAGCCCAGCAATACACATTTTCACTCCAACAAGCCAATACAATGGACAGACACCTCACACAATCCTTCCAAATCCCAGCTGGATCAATGAGCGTGTTTAACTTAGTCACGATGCTGTCCACCATCGTCTTCCTCGATCGCATTTTCGTCCCGATTATCCGCAGGTTTACCGGCCTGGAACGTGGCGTCACGTTCCTCAGCCGGATGGGAATCGGATTCACCATTTCGATTTTATCCACATTGGTTGCGGGATTTGTGGAGTTGAAGCGAAAACAGGCCGCTTTCGAGCACGGGTTGGAGGATAAACCGCACAAAATCATCCCGATTTCGGTATTCTGGCTAGTGCCGCCGTATGCCCTGAATGGGATAGCAGAGGCATTTATGCCAATTGGTCACTTGGAGTTCTTCTATGATCAGAGTCCTGAAAGTATGCGGACCACTGCGACAGCATTGTTTTGTGGCTATCCATTTCCGCGGGGAACTACGCAAGTACCCCTTTTGTGTCAATCATCCACAAGTTCAGCGCTTGGCTCCTTGATAAGAATTTGAACAGGGGAAAATTGGAGTACTTTTATTTTGATCACAGCGCTTCAAGTTGGTAACTTGATATATTACTTGTTATGTGCCAAATTTTACACTTTCAAGCCGATTCAAATCCATGCTGACCAAGAAATTGACGATCGTGGATTCAAAGGAGATGAAATTGAACTGTCCACGGATCATGTTTAAATTAAAACAGGTTTCTGTCTCAATATAGTACGATTATAAGTTGACTTAGGTGTAACTCCTACCTGAATTAAATTCAGCAATGTTGATTTTAGATGAATAATAGTACGTACTTGAACAATTTATAACAAAATATAGAAGAGACATTTTTTACATTTTTCGTTCAAAATTTATTACATTTATTTAAAAAGTTGATTAGTGAGATGGCTCAGATTAAAATCGCAACATTTCTACTATATTTTCTTTGTATGCAACAAGCTTGGAATTGATCGTGTCATTTCTCTTGGTGTGTGCGTGTATTGTTGTTACTAATTAACCTCAAATTCACTAGAATGGAGAAGGAAGTAAAAAAGAGATTGACTAAAATAGTACTCACTCTGTCCCAAAATTATTGTCCAGTTTGAGATTTCTTTTTACTATAATTTGAACTAAAAATAAAAATCCAAATTGGACAATAATTATGGGACGGAGGAAGTAATTGTTAGAGATGCTGCTTCCATTTTTGGGACTTGAAACATGATTGGCCTGACGGGAGCATCTGACACAACCAAATTGCATTATCCAGAACCTACGAATCTTCCAAAACTTGCCCATCATTTATGACATCATCACTACATTTTGCCTGTGAAAGTTGACGTAGCCCCCATTATCTTGGATGCAGAGTACTGAGCGGAAAACCATGCAGAAAAGCAGTAGTACCACCGCCCCACTTGATCATCGATGCAGAAACTCCATACTTCCACTTGCAGATTTTTTTCCATCTTCAATTTGTCTATAGCTTCAAGCTTGGTGATATTAAATTACGGATGTAACTATTGTTTATATATTTACGGTATATTATTACCTAGTTACGGCCTTGTATAGTATATATAGGTATGTTATGTATTTTAAACCCTAAAATAGACAATCATTATTTTCTCGGCTGTATTGATGCTGGCCGCCTCATCCCTCTTCAATCTTCACGTATTATATATATTAGTGCTCCTTCTGTCCTGAAATAATTGTTCAGTTTGGAGTTTCAATTTCAATACAAATTCAAAATCAAACTGGACAATAATTTCGAAATGGTGGAAGTATTACATATTTTTATCCAGTTTTACATTCCAATTCATCAAACAAGCAAGTGAAACCAATTTTCAGCTTTGTCAAAAAACAATGGGAATATTATTAATTTGCTTCTTCTGCTCTCTGCGTACTGCTCCATTTTCAGTTTTACATTTCGTCCACAGGCGCCAAAAATCAAACCACGAAGCCCTCTGAATTCATGCCAAACTAACCGTTGACCTTGGTGGCCAATCCATGTGGATCGATTGTGAAGATGGATTTGCTAGCCAGTGTTCTTATGATCATGTTAAGCTAAACTGTGCGATCTGTTCTGACGGCCCAAAACCTGGTTGCAACAAAAACACATGTTTGCTCATACCATACAACAGTATAGAGATATATTAGCACAGCCCGAAGAACTTGCAGCAGATCTTTTGTCATTGCCATCCACTAATGGATCAAATCCAGGCCCAAATGTGCCACCAAAACCTGTATTATCCATCTGTTGTTCTAAGGTTCTGATGAAAGGTCTTGCTAACGGAGTTCTCCCTATCGCGCTTTTGCTTTTCCGTCTGAATCCATTGTTTTGAAATAAGTTATAAAAGAAGCAATAAACCCCCCAACATACAATTGAATCTTCCTTCAGCAGAAAATTTTCCACTTTTAATTTGCTTTTTCCAGAAATTACATCACTTGAGTCATGGCCCATCGTTTTAAATCGTATGTTTCTGTTAAAGATTGGGCTTGATCTTGACATGACTATGAGCGCAGAGTTTGTGGATCTTCTTCCTAAATATATTATTATTCTCTCGAGAGTAATACTACATTAATATTCTACTTTAAATTATGTAACTCTTTATTATAATTTTATCAAATAAAACATTATGAAACATTAACTTGTTACAGTCAAATGTTGTCTCGCTCATAAACTATTCTATCTATCGCTCTGTATTCAAGCCGAAGTTGAATCATATGAGAGATGGCAAATGGTTGGGCAGGTCCATGAAGAATAAAAGGGTGTTTGGACTTGCATCACATTCTTTTGCATCTTCAAATAATCCTCAATTGATATATGTACCCTTCCAATTTTTGGTATCTCAGTTACCCGGACCCAACAGTTCTTTCCATTCCAGAACATCGCTGTTAGACATTCAAATTACCACCGGTGCACACATCCTGCGGTTTTTGATATGCTTGCGGGCATAATATTGCCTTGACGATGCTTCCAAGGAACATGTGGCCGAAGAAGAATACGTGCACTTGTAGCTGCTTAATTCTTTTGAGAAGTGGCGTAGGAATTTAGCAGCAGCTTCACTAATAATTAAGATTGCATTGATAATCATATAACCCGACAGCTGTGATGGGACTTCGCATGTTTTATTATTTGTAGTTGACTCTGCCCCCTAATAAATAGGTATATTGTGCTAGTTTACTTGTCAATAACTTAGACGTGTAGCTACTCTTGAGGGACCAATAGAAGCCGGTCTCAATTGGTTTAAGGGTAGTGGAGATGGTCAAATTAATAAAAAAAAGTATGGTCATGAAATAATTTTTATTAAGGGAAGTAAATTTTTTTTCAAAAATTTTACAATCAAAACACTTTTGTTTTTACATAATTATCCTCACTAAAGTTAGGGGAAAAAAAAAGAGGATATCTTCTCCTTGCAAATTGGCCTGATGATTCTCGAAATCTCTAGTTTGAGTGAATCGGATTATGACTGGTTATACCGATCATTTAGTCTTAGACGAGGACTATGCGATAATTGATGGAGATTTTCAAGGTAAAAATCACGATGACTCTACGGAGATCCATCACGTTGATGATGATGATAATGAAGATTTGGTTGACGAAGAAGACTTAAGTGAGGTTTTGCTAAATCCCCTGAATTCCTCCTCCAGGAAGAAAACCCTGAAGAGATCATCAATCACAAGCAGGAAAAACCCATTTTCGTGGTGATTCGGTCAAAGCTTCGAACTTTTAGAGAGCGAAGAAGATTGAGATTTTCTCCTGTTTTTATCATGTATTGTGCTCAGTCCCCTGCTATGATTAACCACTATTACGAAAACAACAAGGGACTGATGATTGTCCCCAAATTCGCCGTCGATTCCGTTTCTGTTTTTCCTATCGGCCACGGCCCCGTTTCCGGCACTATCACAGCCAATTGGAACATGATTGTCAGAGTCACAAAGCCGAAGGGGAGGCCGGAATCCTGCAGTTTCTCATGCAAAACAGCTTTAATTCCAGTCGCTGGTATCATATAGTTTCTAGACTTGAGTACGTTATATTACTATTTGCAAGGATTTGATTATTGCTTTTGATTTTGTTTCTCATAAGGCAAAAGAAAGGCCAGAATCTCTCCTCGGCGCTCCGACTTGTCTCTGATTTAGTATTGGCTTTAAATTTTGCTCACAAAAAAAAAAAAAAGTAAATGGTAAATATGTCACAATAAAATAGTTTTAATTTTATAATTTATGGCTAATAATTTACTGCCCTTAATAAAAATTATTTTATGGTCATATCCCTTTTGTTAATTTAACTAACTCTACTGCGTCTTAACTAAATTTTCCCAAAGAAAAAAATAATAAAATCGTAGA